TAGTAGTTGTAGTACTAGTAGTAGTAGTAGTAGTAGTAGTAGTAGTAGTACTAGTAGTAGTAGTAGTAGTAGTAGTAGTAGTACTAGTAGTAGTAGTAGTAGTAGTAGTAGACGCAGGAGCTTTAGTCGGGATCCGTCTTTGTGGATGGGGACCCGAGTCAAGGCGATGACTGCCCGAAGCAGATTCTGGAGATCGCGAACAAGCGGTACCGGAGTCGCTTGTATCAAATCTGAGGGAGTAAAATGGTTTGGCCCCAGGTGATTTCTTGTTTGAATAGATCTGGGATGAAATCCTCATGGATAATCGGTCTCATATCTTTGTGGGCATCTGAGACAAGAAGATCGTCCAGTATCTCTTCGAGGAGTTCCAGAAGTGTAATGGCTGTTGGGCAGACAGCCGATTGGTTTGCGAGGTCAGCGACAGTACCCGAGCCCGAACCCGGGAGGTATACATCAGCTTCTCCGACCTGGTCAAGAAATACGGCGAGTCTAATGCTTCCAAGCTCCGCCAAGATAAAAAATCAAAGCAACAGGAGCTTGGAGACCGAGCGGAAAACCTACCATACTGGTTTGTTCACCCGGACCTGCCGGATGACCCGGCTCCTGGGCAGTAGTAGTATACCTACGTGTACTATAATTTTTGGTCTAGTGCAGTAGATATCGTATATATATATATAGTGGCAGCAGTACTAGTGTAGTAGTAGTAGTAGTAGTAGTAGTAGTATCAGTAGTAGTAGTAGTAGTAGTAGCAGTAGTAGTAGTAGTAGTAGTAGTAGTAGTAGTATAGTCGTAGTAGTAGTAGTAGTAGCAGTAGTAGTAGTAGTAGTAGTGTAGTAGTAGTAGTAGTAGTAGTGTTCTACTACTGGACCTCGTGCCTTAAACCTCCTCGAACACCAGAAAAGACAGTCACCGACGATATATTTAATACGCCCTATCCAGGATCACGAGCAGTTCTTGTGTTGGGACTCGGCGAGCCTCACTACGGACAACAACCAGGAGAACAAAGCATCCGTGGCAACCTCGATGGCTCTGAACCCCCAGTCTGCTGCAGCCATCATGCAACTTGGCTATAACGCGGTCCCTCCATTGAACCCGAAGCTCTAACCCCAAGAGCCGTGATCCATATCATCGTTCCTCGATGTATTCATGTCATGAGTATATGTACTATATTTGCCCAAAACATACAAACCCCCAGACTGCTGGTCTGATCTACTCACGAAGGCCCTTGAGCTAGACCCGAAAGCCCAACAGCCAGGATCGCCGCCCCGTTTAGGGTTTAGGTGTTTAGGGGTTTAGGGGCTTGGGGTTTAGGGTTTAGGATTCAGAGGTTGAGGGTCTGGGGCTTGTGATTTACCCTAAACCCTAAACCCAAACCTGCATTCCGATACTATCTATAGATGATCATCTTTGTATCGAGCTCGCCGCAATATTTGAACCCTAAGTCCAAAACCCTATATTATTATTATAATTTAGATCCGTAATATCATCCACGTAACCAGGCCATCCGCGATGAAGCTGCCGGCCTCCTTGCAATACCTGTCGCCGCAGCAGGAAATGATTGACGATGCAGCCCCGAGCAACCCGACCCCGGTCAATGCGAAGGCCAAAGCCAAGAAGGCCCCGAAGAAGGGACAGGCAACAGGGGAGGGAAGCACGGGATCCTTGATGGATGGGAAGCCTAAGAAAGCTGTGCCCCCGGTTACACGAGCGACTGCAAAGCTACGCGAAGTCACGGCGATTACCAACGACGCCAAGTCGTGGGAGGAGAAAATCAGCATGACGTCCGATGAGATCGTGTGCCTAGTTTTTAATTGCAACATTAGGGCTCTCGGGGTTTAGGGGTTTAGGGTTTAGGGCTTGGGGGTTAGGGTGGCGGTTTTTAGGTTTAGGGTTCAGGGACTTACACGTTTACGGGTTAGGGTCTGGGGTTTAGGGTTTAGGGTGGCGGCTATATACTTTATATATATATATATAGTTGTGTGGGGTTTAAGTCTTTTAAATCGGTGCAAGTCTAGATAGCAAGGTGTGCCGAGCTCAAGGAAGGCTATATCAAGGGCATCGAGAGCCGCTGTGCCAATGTCACGGAGGCAGCCAAGCAGGTGCAAAGCATTCTGGTTTCCGGCGAGGATGATGGTTTGGACGACGAGATTACTAAGCTCGAACAGTGCATGGAGAAGTACAACAGCTACATCTCCAAGACCATCAAGCCACAATTCGAAGCTTGTCTACAAAAGGCCTAAACCCTGAACCCTAGAGCTAATATGATAATTATGATTAATAATTATATATTTTAATAAATATAATAATTAATTACCTTAAAACCTCAAGGGCTATAATATATCTGTTATTTACCCCACCCCTAAACCCTAAACCCCTCACCCTAAACCCGAACCCCTAAAACCCCAACCCCTAAACCCTAAAACCCAGACCCTACTAACCCTAACGCTTAAAACCCAAGCCCTGACACCTAAGCCCTAACCCCTAAGCCTTAAATAGAAAGAATAGTACCCTGAAATCCCTACTAAATCCCAGGAGATAAAGCAGCCGAAGAAGAAACCTGCCGGCAAGAAAGCAGCGAAGGCTGCTCCGAAGTGATCATCATGCTAGCAGCAGAAAGCTGCACCGGAGCCGGCCGAGTGATCGGCTGGAGTGTCTGATCATGATCTTGAGTGACATCATGATGAGTTTTGGATTAGCAGCCTTCTGCCTCTGGCCGGTACCAATATACATGCATATATCGGGTTACTCTATGATAGAGAGAGAGAGATAGTGGGCGGAAATATCTCAAAAGCCAGGGGATGCTGCATGTGCCAAAGGCAACACGAGCCACCGAGTGCCTGTGCCCGAAAAGACTTGTGACCTCTGGGATTTACGTCTCAGCTGCAGCCCGGGACACCATGAGCCTCAAACCCTAAGCCTATAAGCTCTACGACCCCTGAAACCTATTTGCTTTGAACCCTGGGTCCTCGATATATGTAAATACCCGAAGCCCTGGATCCTAAGCCCCAAGAATCCTCACGCCGAGTAACAAGTGCAAGCTTGGAACCCTAACCCCTTACTCGAGTGTCTCGACCCAAATAAAGACCCAACATATGTATGGATGCCCGAGGCTCTGAAGCTTCAAGCCCCGAAGTTACCTTCAAGCCAAAGCCCAGTACCCCGTGAACGACTCTTCAAATAACCCGGGGCCTCACAATCCTCACGGCGACTCGCAAGCCTGGAACCCCGAATCCCAGACCCCTTCGGGAGCCATGCCCTACTATATTTATATTATTAGTATAGGAAGCCCCTACATATGTGTAGACGCCCGAGGCTTGTCAAGCCCCGAAATTACAGTTCTAATATGCAAATAGCCCAATACCCTCGAAAAACAACTCTTGATGCAGCCGCGGCCTCAAACAAGAAAACCTAACACCCATCCTCCCTGAACCTGACTTTAGATAATATAATATATCCCCAGGAATTATTATATAACATGGCCTTCGATTCCCACGCAGGTGACGTACCCAGCGAGCTTCTGGCGAACCTAATGAAGATGGTGGCCAAGGGGGACATCGGGAGTTTGGGGAATTGGATGAAGGGTTTAGGGATTTCGGGCTCTAGGGGTGAGGCTTGGGTGTTTAGAGGTTTAGAGGCCTAGGGTTGAGGGCTTAGGCCCGGAGGTGTTTCTATGAACACATGCAGTATGATACACCTTTGCATGAAGCTGTCGGAGCGAGGCTTGTAAATAATATATTTAAAACAGCTACACATGAGGTGTATTTTAATTTATACCGGGTTGAGGGTTGGGTATGTTATCACAGTGCCGGGTTTGCTAGCCTGCTTGGGTCCTGGACTTTTGAGATTCTGTGGTTGTTCCTAAACCCTAATTCCCTAAACCC